ATGTTAATAAAAGGCTCAATATGGTGTGAAGATTTAACACATCTAACAACCAACCATCAGAATATATGAAGTAAAACCTGAAAGAATTGCAGGGATAAATAGGTCTACAATAATAGTTGGAGATTTGAATACCCCAATATCAATGATGGATAGAATAACCAGAAAAAAAGATAAGTAAATAGAGAACCTAAACAACAAATAATCCAACTACATCTAACAGACATATACAGGACTCTCTACCCAATACCAACACTGTACACATTTTTCTCAAGTGCACGTGGGACATTTTCCAGGACAGACTATCTGTTGGTCCACAAATTAAGTCTCAATAGATTTAAAAAGATTTATGTGATACAAAGTATCTTCTCTAACCACAACAGGATGAAGTTAGAATCAATAATAAAAGGAAAGTTGGAAAATTCACAAATTTGTGGAAATTAAACAACACAAACTTAAACAGCCAATGAATTTAAAAAATAACAATGGAAATTAGAAAATACATAGAAACAAATGAAAACAAAACACAGCATACCAAAATCATGGAACATACTGAAAGCAATGCTAAGGGGAAAATTTATACATAAACTCTTTTATGACTATAAACTCTCAACAAACGTAAATCAACAACCTAATTTTACAACTTAAGGAATTATAAAAAGAAGAACAAAAGAAAACCTAAGCTAGAAAAAGGAGGGAAATAATAAAGATTAGAACAGCAATAATGCAATAAACAATAGAAAAATAGAGAAAAATCAGTGAAACCCAAAGTTGTTTCTTTGAGAATATCAACAAAACTGACAAACCTTAAGCCAGATGAACTAAGGAAAAAAGAGAGAACACTCAAATTTCTAAAATTAGAAATGAAAGTGGGACCATTACTACTGACTCTACAGAAATAAAAAGGATTATAAAAGAGTACTATAATCAATTATATGCCAACGAATTGGATAACCTAGATGAAATGAAGAAATTCTTAGAAACCCAAAACCTCCTGAGAGTAAATTGCAAAGAAATAAAAAATGTGAATCGACCTGTAACTACTAAGAAGATTGAATTGGTAATAAAAAATCTCTCAACAAAAAAAAGACACTGAAATGACATCATCACTGGTGAATTCTACCAAACAGTTAAGAATTGACAATTCTCAAACTTTTCAAAAAAAAAACTGGAGAGGATCAAATACTTTCTAACTTATTTTATGATGCCAGCATTGCCCTGACAAAGCCAGACAAAGACATTACAAAAAGAAAAAAACTGCAATCCAATATCTCTTGTGAACATTGATGCAAAAATTCTCAACAAAATACTAACAGATCAAATTCAGCAACACATTAAAGGGATGATTCATCATAAGCAAGTGGGATTTATTCCTGGAATGCAAGGATGGTTTAACATATGAAAATTGATCAATGAAATATATCACATTAACAGAATGAAGGGGAAAAAACACATGCTCATCTTAATTGATGCAGAAAAAGTATGTGACAACATTCGATACTATCTCATGATAGACATTCAACAACCTAGGAATAGAAGGGAACTGCTTCAACATAATAAACATAACAAATGCCATATATGAAATCAACATAATAAACAGATTATATGAAAAGCCCACAGTGAGCATCATACTCAATGGTAAAAGACTAAGCCTTTCCTCTAAGATCATGAACAAGGCAAGGATGCCCACTTCTACCACTTCTATTCAACATAGTACTGGAAGTTCTAGCCAGAGCAATTAGGCAAGAACAAAAAAAGGCATCCAAGTTGGAAAGTGTGAAGTAAAATTATCTCTGTTCATGGTTGATAGTATGGATACTATCTTATGTGTAGAAAACTCTGAAGATTCCACACACAAAAACGTTTGAACTAATAAATGAATTCAGCAAAGGAGCAGGATACAGTCAACACAAATCAGGTACATTTTTGTACACTAACAATGAACAATCGGAAAAGGAAATTATTAAAACAATTCCATTTACAGTAACATTGAAAAGAATAAAATACTTAGGTATTAACTTAACCAAGGAGGTGAAAGCCTTGTACAATAAAAAAACTATAGACCATTGCTGAAAGAAATTAAAGACGTAAAAAATAGTAAAGGATCCCACATTCGTGGATTAGAAGACAATATTATTAAGATGTTAATACTACCCAAAGCAATTTGAAGATATAATGCAATCTCTATTAAAATCCCAATGGCCTTTTTTGAAGAAATAGAAAAACCCATCCTATTCATATGAAATCTCAAGAGACCCCAAATAGCCAAAAATATCTTGAAAAAGAAAAACAAAGCTGGAGGATTCACACTTCCTGATTTCAAAACTTACTACAAAGCTACAGTAGTCAAAACAGTAGGTAATGGCATAAAAACAGACATATAGACCAACAGAATAAAATAGAGAGCCCAGAAACAAACCCTCACATGTACAATTAATCTTTGACAAGGTGCCAAGACCCTCCAATAGGGGAAAGGACGGTCTCTTCAGCAAAAGGTTCTGGGAAAACTGGACATCCACATGCAAAAGAATGAAGTTGGAACCTTACCTAATACCATCTACAGAAATTAATTCAAAATGGATCAAAAGCCTAAATGTTAAGATCTAAAATAACAAAACTCTTGGAAGAAAATATCGGGCAAAGGTTTCAGGATGTAGGACTTGGCAATGGTTTCTTGGATATGACACCAAAGTTATATGCAACAAAAGAAAAAATAGATTAACTGGATTTCTTGAAAGTTAAAAAGTTTTGTGCATCAAAAGACTGTGTCACTTGGGAGCGTGGCGGCGCTCCCGCCGAGGGTTCGGATCCCACATGCAGACCGGTTCCCGCTCACTGGCTGAGCGAGGTGCAGGTGCGACACTGAGGGTTGCGATCCGTTGCTGGACACGAAAAAAGACAAAAAGGAAAAAAAAAAAGACTGTGTCAACAGAGTAAAAAGGTGTCCCACAAAAGGGAGAAAATATTTGCAAATCATATATCTGATAAGGGATTGATATCCAGAGTATACAGAGAACTCCTAAAACTCAACAACAAAAAACAAGCAACTCAATTACGAAATGGGCAAAGAACTTGAGTAGACATTTCTCCAAAGAAGATACACAATGGCCAATATGCTCATACAAGGATGCTCAAAACCACTAATCATTAGAGAAATGCAAGTCAAAACTACAATGAGATACCATCTCATACCCATTAGGATGGCTACTATAAAATTAAGAAAAGAAAGAAAATGACAAGGTTGGCAAAGATGTGGAGAAATTGGAACCCTGGTACATAGTTGGTGGGAATGCAAAATGGTCCAGCTATTGTGGAAAACAGTTTGGGGGTTCCTCAAAAAATTAAAAATAGAATTACCATATCATCTAGCAACTCCACTTCTGGGCATATACCCCAAAGAACTGAAAGCAGGGTCTCAAAGAGGTATTTGTACATGCATGTTCACAGCAGCATTATCATCCACGACAGCTAAAACTTGGGAGCAAACCATTGACTGGGAATCGATAAGCAAAACGTGGCGTATACACATGAGGGACTCTCATCCAGTCTTGAAAAGGAGGAAGATTCTGCATGCGGCATGCTACGACGTGGTTGAACCTTAAGGACATCAGGCTAAGTGAAACAAGCCAGGCACAAAAAGACAAATATTGTACGATGAGGTCATTCATGTAGTCAAAATCACAGAGACAGAAAATATAATGGAGGTTGCCAGGGACTGGAGGAAGGGGACGAGGGAGTTAGTGTTTAATGGGTGCATAGTTTCAGTTTTACAGGATGAAAAGAGCTCTGGAGATGACGGCAGTGATGGTTGCACAATGTTACAAATGCATTTAGTACCACTGAACTATACACTTAAAAATAGTTAAGGTGATTAGTTTTATGCTATGTGTATTTTACCACAGTTAAAAAACTGGAAAAAAATAATTTGTCTCAGAAATATGTGTGTCTTAGGGCCGGCCCGTGGCTCACTCGGGAGAGTGCGGTGCTGATAACACCAAGGCCACAGGTTCGGATCCCATATAGGGATGGCCGGTTAGCTCACTGGCTGAGCGTGGTGCTGACAACACCAAGTCAAGGGTTAAGATCCCCTTACCGGTCATCTTTAAAAGAAAAAAAGAAAAGAAAAGAAATATATGTGTCTTAGTTGAATTCAGTTATAAGAAACCCTCCCACATCTCCCAGTTGATGATCAGGTCCATTCTGGGAACTGCAGATATTAGCCAACCTCCCCCTGCTCCACCAGAGACTCCCTCCACCCGCCCAAGCCCCACCCCACCCCCAGAATCTGAACTCTGGAGTCCAGAGGTGCAGGAGAGCTCGAGGGCCAGGCGGCGCAGCAGAGGCTCGGCTTCACCTGAACTTGCTGCCTGCTCCATCTCCAGGAATGGGGTGGAGGATACACGGCCAGGACCTGGCCTGCAAGGTTATAACCCATGGCCCACTGGTGGATCGCAGTCAGTTGCAAGATGTCACTTGTTACCAGTCATCATTAAAGTGCCAAGGTTTGCAAATGACTTTTTTTCCTTTTTGTCTTTTTTACTGACTGGTAACGGGATCGCAACCCTCGGTGTCACGCCCGTACCAGGGACGGCAACGGGATCGCAACCCTCGGTGTTGCGCCCGCACCGCGCTCAGCCAGTGAGTGGGAACCGGTCTCCACATGGGATCCGAACCCTCGGCGGAGCGCTGCTGCACTCCCAAGTGGCTCACTCTCCAGTGCACCACCGGGCCAGCCCGCAAATGACATTTTTAATCAACTGGAACAGAGTCAAGATTTACCTTAAGATGCAATTGCTCCCGCTTGCATTGTGGCACGCTTTCTAGAGTGGGAGTGAAAGGGGTGGAGGTGCAGACTATGCCTGGAAATAAACACCACCTCAGACCCGTGTCACCAGCGTGAAGGCCACCCATGACGTGCGTAAGGCGCACTTCTGCTTCATGATTGGTGTCACCTCTTCCTGTGTCAGGTCTGCTTCTGCCCATTTCCTCCTGTCTCCCCCCAGGGGAGAAGTGGTTATTGATCCGATTGATCAGAGTGGCGGCTATTAACGGGGCCACAGTTGCTGGTGTGGGCCGCTGCGTGGTGAAGTTGGCGCACACGCGGGACGCGCTCTCGGGCTCTATCTTTCCCGCCTCTGCAGTCTGCAGCACCAGGCGCTCTCTCTCTGTCACCGTCTCTTCTCCTCTCTGTCTCCCCCGTTACCATGTAGCTGACCGGGCAGGTGGGCTCGGCAGTCTCTCAATCTCCTGCTCTTCACAGGCACGTATGGGGATCGCAGCTCGGGAATTTCGGCTGCAGAAAGCAGCAGGGTAGGTGACCCTGAACCGACCATGAGCCTCCACAGGGCTCTGCACTGTGCATCACCAGACGGTGTCCAGCTATTGATAAACAGCGCTTCCATTTCCAATGGGCGGCAATGTCATGGACATACTGTCCTAGGGAAACCCTTGGGGAAGAGAGGCGGGCCGGGGCTTGGCGCCCTCAGCAGCTTCCATACTGGCAAACCCCGCGCGTCCCCAGCCGCACACGCACCGGTCAGCCGGGTGTCTCAGCGACGCCCGTTGACAGGCCACATGACACAGTTCGGGAATCAGAAAATACAGTCACCACATTTGTATGCAGCTGCCTGTGAGGCCCGATTCCCGGTGCCCCATGTCGCCTTTGCCTGTCACAGCTGAGGTGCTGTCCAGCAGTTGTGCGTCCCTCCTTTAACTTGACGCTTATTCTCAGTGTGGCTCCTGAACCGCCTTTCAGAATCGCTCGGGGTGCTTGATGAAAACAGACTTTTGCACCCTACCCCAAACTGTTAAATCAGATTCTAAGGGGCTGGAGCCCATCAATACAATTTTAGACAAGCTCCCCACGTGGTTCTTATTTACCAGGAATGTTTGGGAACCACTGGCATCACAATTTGATTCCTGTTAAAATGCAGAAGTCACTGGGAGAGAAAACAAAGTTTCTATCATTCCATTCCATTACAGTGGGAACCAAAGGTCAGGGTATAAATAGAAAACTCGGAGCAGGGTTGGATGGGAGACGGGCGAAGACCCGCGCTGGGCAGAGAGCGGAGCGGGCAGGCGAAGTGCGGCAGAAGAGAGAGGCGGCCTCAGTGAAGTGGCCAGAGGCGTCACGAGGCAAACTTTGCCTATTTCCCCTGCCTAGAAACTAGGTCAGCAATGAAGTCAGCTAAGGCGGGTGAGCTGGCCTCCATTCCCAGGTCCAGGAGAGAGAAAAGATGGCTTGACCTTCCCCACGTGGCTGCCGTCTGGAACATCTCATCAGGAAACTGGAAAGGCTTCTGCAAACCCCTGCGACGGTGTCACGGTGCTTGCAATAGCGCTACTGTCAGTGAGACTGTCCCTAGAGCCGTCTAGGGCATCTTCAGTTAGAGGAATGCCCACACTCCACAGCAGGGATTCCAGTAATCGTCTGGGACTTGATGACACAAAGGAAGAGCAGGAAAGAGAGGATTCTTAGGTGTTGGGGGTGAGAGAGGGTCCTGAGGAATTACCTGTACCTCTGGCATTCTCCAAACATAGCAATGACATGGAAGTCACCTCTAGAAATTCTACCTAGTAATCTTGAAATTTCAGGCTTGTGTTCAAGAATGGAGAGGATTAGAGATGTGTTAGAACGAGGTGGACAATGTAGCACATTGTCTCAAACTAGAGCTTTTGAGGGTAAAGAGCATGTAGCCCTCTAATTGTCCCAGGCCAGCTAAGACATTCGGTCACTGTAGTTAGAACCCGGAGAGAAAGTGTGGCCTGAAGAAGATGGAGGCAGATCAGCTGGCACTCGGCAGACGGAAGCCTCCCGTGCCTCTGCGTCCACCCCCTAAAGTCAGGTACCTACAGAATTATCAGCCCAATCTTTTAAATCAGATCACATCGCACCCTTGCTCTAAACTGTCCAGTGCTTTCCCATCATTCGGATTAAAATCCGAAGTCTTTACCAGTGCCTTGGGTTGAATGTCCCCCCAGAACTTAGTCTGCACGTGACAGTGTAAAGAGGGTGGGAAATCCCTTCAGTAATTGAAAGGTGGGCCTTGAAGAGGTGACTGGACTGTAGGACCGCACCTGGCGAATGTATTAAAACCGGTGGTCAGTGTGTGGTTCTGAGGGCTTCAAGGGGCGCGTGAATGAGAGGTTGATCTCTCTCTCTCCGCTTCTACCATCTTGCAATATGAGACCGCTGGATCACTGTCACCACCACCACGACCTTCACCAGATGTGTCCCCTGGACCGTGGACTTCCCAGCCTCCAAAACTGTAAACAATACATTTCATTTTCTTTATAAATCCCCCAGTTCCAGGTATTTTGTTATAAACGACAGAAACGGACTGACACACCATGACCTGTACAGCCCTGCATGGCCTGGCCCCGTCCACCTCTGCCGCTCAGACCTCGCTTCCCATATTGTCCCCACCCCACTCACTCACGCCCGGCCATGCAGCCTTCCTGTTGCCCGTTAAACAACCGACTTTACCCTCTCCTGTAGTTACCAGTCTATTGCCTCTCAGCCCTAAATCCACCCTTCTCTACCCTGCTCTGTGGTACTAGGGCTTGACCCGATGAACATTTCTCCTTCACTAGCCGGCTCAGTGTCAGTAGAGGCTTTGTCAACAGAGGACACTGAAGGGACATGGCAAGGCCATTGCAGAACAAAGGGACTTCCTTCCCAATTCGGGTGTGCTGTTGTTAGGCGTGGTCTCCGTGTGCTGCGTGGAAGGCCATGTGGTGCTCAGCCAGCAGCCCCTGCAGAGCCGCTCCCGCCTGTCGTGGCCTCGCAGGCCTCTCCTCACCCGGGAGGCACCCTCTGGGCTGCCCTGGCCCATGCTGGCAAATGTCCTCACCACTGGCCGGCTGTGTGCTCCAGCAGCAGCCTCACCTCTGCACGTGTGCCCAGTGTGGCCACGGGTGACAGGGACAGTGCCCTGAGTTCTCAGCCCCTCCCTCAGCCCCAGAGACAGCAGCTGCCTCTGCATTTGCTGCTCCTGGCTTGATAGTCACCTTTTACATGTCACAACTCACTGTACTAAGCTTTTCCTGTTCAATTACTGGTGTGGTTTGTTTCCAGATTGACCCCGGCTGCAGCCTGGGTACTGGGAGTGGTCTGAGGAGTCAGACTGTCCTGGGTTGGCGGGTGGGTTCAGGCATGTGTTTGGGTTCAAGGCCAGTGCTGAGCTCCTTGCCAAGGAGAAGCTGAATGCTAGTTATTGGGACATACAGTGGCATTCCAATTAATTAAATCATGACCATGGCTGACTGTGACCAAGTGCTAACTGAAGCAGATGCCTTGGGGGCCAAGTGTCTGCTGAACTTGACTGTGCGGGGTGAGCTGATCTTCCTGACGCATCGCCGTGCTCCCAGGAAGGAAGACACAAGCTCAAGACTGAATCTGAGAACGAGGTTCCCACAGCCACCCCGACAGGATCTCCTGTCCTGTAACCACAAGGCTACTGTGCGTGTGGCTGGTTACAAAGCAGGTGAATTCACAGCTTTACAAGTTCTTCGTGAGACATTAGGGCATTGGTTGAGAAATAATGAGACCCTGGAAGTTGGACTTGGGAAATCTAGGATTGAAATGATATTGAGAGTCTCAAATCTCCATGTCACCCTGAGCATCCCTTGACAGTGGGAGCAGTCACTTCCTCCACGATGAGCCTCCTTTGCTGGAAAACCCTACGGCAGCTTCATCTGGGCAGATGCCTTACCTGTGCTCGTCCTCAAGGCCACCCTAATTCCCTCTTGTTACCACTAGACCCACAACTCAGGTCAAATCTCAGCATGTTTTGGGGACTCGGGTACACCAATGACATGGGAGGAAGTAGCTTTACACTAGAATAACTGCAAGACTCTTCTAACACACGTTGGCGGAAACCTTGGGAATGTGTGTGGAACATAACACTGTCAGGCTGAGTTCACGGATGTGGACGCGCTAACGAGCAAGTCCGGGTGTTGTGTTTGCAGTCACATGGCTGGAAGTGGCTCTCACATCTTACTTCGTTGGTTGACTGAAACTTGGACTCAACAGTGTCCTCATTTAATGAGGATGAGATGCCAGAGTCTCCATGGCATGAGGTGGAGGAGAAAATCCAAAGGCTGAGGAAGAGAGAAATACCCGTGTGTGGTAACATGCACGCCCAGCTCCCAACCACGCCCGACAAGGCTCACAGGCCCTCCCTCCACTGAGAGGTTGGGAACTGAGTGAGGGGGTGTCCACGTCCTGCAGAAGTTCTGCGGTGCTCTCCTTTGTGGAGTAGATGTGACCGTGGGGAACACTACCCTGATCTCAACGGGGTTAGCGGAACCCTGGAGTAACGGAGGCCAGGAGGCAAGACGTGACCGCCTGGGACAGGGCAGCCTGTCTCCATAGCGTCAGCAGGGACACACTGGTCATCAGATGCTTGGCCCTCAGGGCTCTCAAGGAGTGCTTAATTGATCACATGGCAATAAAATAGGCAGCCTACCAAAGCACTGCTGGATCTATATCAGGAGTCAACAAACTACGACCTGTGAGCCCAATCCAGCTCTCTGCTTATTTTGTAAATCACGTGGTACCGGGACGCAGCCACGCCCCTTCATTCACATATTGTCTGTGGCTGCTCTCCTGCTACAACAGGAGTCTTGAATAGTTGTAACAGAGACCACTTGGCCCACAAAACCTAAGATATTTACTATCGGGTCCTTTACAGAAAAGGCTTGCTAACCCCTGATCTATGTAACTGAAAACCTTCTAGGTCTGGTGGTTAAAGACCTGGGTTGGGTCACTGCAACAGAGAGTCACCGCCTCCCATGCAGCTGCTTGACCTAAGCCAATTTGCAGACCCAGAGTCCCTTGGCGGAAGGGCTGCAGCATTGCCACATTACATGCGGGGGCGCACCAAATCCAAGAAGCCAGAGTTTGATAAGGATCCTCTGATTTGACACGATGTCTTGCAAGGCCTCATCGTGGGAGGAGGTGCTGCCATTCCACCCCCCTTTCTTTTGGAGTTCCATATGCTTGCTTTGTCTTATTGTATTCTATTCCTTACTGCCTCATAATTATCGCTCTGGGGGGATTGGGAGTGAGATTGAGAACCATACCAGAGTGCTTAATCATATTAATGACACTCCTGAGAGTTATGGTGATGGGTTCCCAGGAGATGGTTTGTGGTAGCTAGGACCAGAAGGGGACAATGGACATATGTACACATTTACCTTGTCTGCTTCCTGGAAGGATTGTTTTTAGTGCAATTAGTAAGCATAATGAAAATGTTATTGAAAATTTACCCAAAAGCTGCTAGGCAACATGGTTAAACAATAACTGGTGAA